GAAGATTATTATAGTCATATTATAATTCGTTTGTGCTACGTGGAGGAGTCTGCTCGGCAGGGGCAGGACCACGCTCTCACAAAATACCAGCGTAATGCTGTTGTGTTTCGTATGGTGAGTGTAGAGAACCGGAAAGCCTTTTTACTGGAATTGAGACATTCTGTCTTAGTACTCAGGGGTGACATCGAATTTGCATTTTGATCCTTAATCGAGGATAAATGTGGTTGTCTATGGGCCACAGCATCCACTTACCATCAGGTGGACCGTGTGCTCGTTTGTCATCCAATGCTATAAAAAACGAGCCAAGTTTTATATAACTGGAAAGTATTAACTGTATGCACTTAAAAAAGAAAATAAAAATTAATAACAATTTATCTAAAGATAGTATATAAATACACTGAGCTCATATTTAAGTGTGAATATTTTTACATCTATATTTGACGTTTGATAAAGTTCGAATTCGAAAGCATCTATAACTAATGGAGTTAGTGTGTTATTCTATCAAACAGATAATATTAAAAATCTACGATGATACCAAGAAGCGGGCTAGAACCGGAATTACACAGACACAATATCGTTCTTACGATAAGAAAATATATATAAATGTTAGACGTAAGAGTTACTTACAATGAAAAAAACAAGATAAGTATATTAAAAAATGACTAATGCATATATTAGCTGAGGGACATGGGACATGTCTTGCAAGTGTTCGTAAAGTTGTTGTTCCGTCGTCTAATTTGATTTAATTGGAAATCTCTCAAAGCTTTTAATTGTAACATGTCCCAGGCATACTCGATAGGATTTAAGTCAATTGTGCAGGCCAATCCAAAACTTGAATATCGTGCTTTCAGAGAGCGGCCGACATCAGGGCAAGGAGGACTATCGTGCATGAGTAGAAATTCCTGACCCATTTGGATTCTGTGTGAGACAATGACAGGATCTACACTACCTTCTCGTGGAATTTTTTGCAGTCATGCTGCCTTGGAACCAAACAAGCTTGATTTCCTCTGCGAGAATCGGCAAGGAGTAACCGCCAATAACAATAATTATAATAGCCGTATTCTGAATTCAATGTGTGTATGTTTATATAATATAATTAATGTTAATATTAAATAATTATTTAACAATAATAATAAAAAACAAAATAAATGTTCCTCCTGGTACTATAGAGACACCATAAAACTATGTAACACCTATAGAATACGATAAAGTTATGGAGTATTGAGTATGGGAGCTGGACCCTGAGTCTGATGAAGCTGTAAAAGCCGCATAGGCTAACAGCACTTACATTTCAGAAAATAGCTAATTCATATATTTATTAGTTACAATGCTCTTGATGATGAAGAAAATCGTCATAACGAAGGCATGTAATTACGAAATTATTGGTTATTTCAAGGACATGTAAATCCCAACAACATGTAAAAGCACTAGAACTACGTGATCGACGTTTATCAACTCTATTATCTTCCTAGAAATGAGAGAAGGCTTGTGCCCCGTAGTAGGACGCCGCAGAATATAAAAGAGGTGAAATGTAAGGTCGCAAGTATGACTGCTCATTAAGATACGTGAGGGTATTATGGTTACAAGTACCTTAAGCTTTGCCGCCCTATAAAACCAAAACTAGGAGAAGTACAGAGAAAAAAGCACAAAGTCGTATACTATAACTAATATATTAAGAAAAAATAACAAGCAAGTTTTGGCAATTATTAGGAATACTTCGATAAAAAAACTAACTACACTACACCATACTAAAATCGACTAAAATATTTACTACAATATCAACTCTCAAAATGGCGTCGACGAAGAATCGCCCTTTTGACTACTTATTATTTGATTGACCGATGAAGAGCTATCGTATCACAAAACCATCTATGCCAACAAACAGTGGCGGACCGTGAATTTGTGAGGCTCTGGGCTAACAGTAGTTGGGGCCCTACTAAATTAATCAAACTAATCAAGTCAAAAAAACTGTTTTCTGTAATGATTTATTACACGGTCTGCAAAAAATTATACACCTTTGATAAATAAACAGCAACTGTAAGACATTATTGCTTAAGATATTAACAGGTAATTTTAATTTTTTTTTATTGAAATTTTAAAAAATAGATTTTGCGCTGCTAATTCCTTTATTTGCTCGTCGCATCGTCAATCCTTTGTTAAATCACAATTTATGGAAAGGATTGATAAATAATTTAGTCGATTGTTCAACATTGTTTACCTATATTTGTTTTCGTTATATGACATCAAAGTAATTTGGGAAAACATTACCAAGTTTTTTTTTCATTGATTAGCATAAACATTTCACTGCAAGAGTGTAAGAATCTAGCTTAGCCTTTAGTAAGATTTTAACCGAATTCACTGATTGAATTTCTTACTATATGCCTTATAGACATGACATTTTCTATTTAAATCCAAAATCCAAAACAGCTTATTCAACACAACGTTTAACGTGTCTCTTTAAAAATTTTGACTCTTTTGTCTTTAATGATTTCTTAAATTTACGCGAACACTACACATTGAATAAAACTAAATTTTCGGATTATATCGCGTTTATTTAACTGATTTTACTTATTTTTAATTCCCGACGTTTCGGGTGCTTTACAGCAACCATGGTCACGGGGGGGACTGAGATGTTTGACGTCCCAATGTCATTGTTAGCCCGGCTACCTTCAGTTTTTTGAATATTAATTTTTGGTCCGATTTACGCAAAACGAACTTACAGTATCTTGAAGTCTTGCAGTGGTATGCTTGGGTTTGGGTTTAATTTTGTTAATTATAGGATCCCAAGCAGATGGCAGCACCCAACCATCTTCTCTATTGAAATTAGGATGTTTTTTAATTTCAATAGCCTCGCGTATCATCCTTGGTAGGAATCAGTGTTTTTTTGCGAGGATTTGTGGTTTATCAAATCTGATGTAATGGTGGGGACGATCTTGAACATGTTCACAGACGTCTTTTGTCTTTAACTGAAAATTCTGCATGTCTTTTATTTATGTCAATTCGCTATAGTATTTAAGTTTTAAGCTTTCTCCTCGTATTTAAGTTTTAAGTTTTCTCCTCGTATTTTAGTTTTAAGCTTTCTCCTCGTATTTAAGTTTTAAGCTTTCTCCTCGTATTTAATTTTTAATTTTTCATTCGATTGATGTCGTATGTTACTCACGAACTCTTTTGATGACATAATTAACTTGTTGCCTCTTTAAAAATTTCTTCCGAAAAATTATTTTCGGGTTTAGCCATTTTTTAAATTTCGTGCCTCTTTTTGAAAATTAACTATCTAAACTCATGAAATTTTCATAATATTATCATAATATTTTTAAAGCTTTGACAGCTAGTCTTTTCTGGGGGCTGGGGGCCCTTTATATCCACGGGGCCCTGGGCTGCAGCCCAAAAAGCCTATATATAGATCCGGCCCTGCCAACAAGGCTGTAGTTTTTGAGTTAAAAGAAAGTGACCATATTAACCGTATGAACATGTTACCCTCACGTACTATATAGAAATCGAATCCCTTTCTCTCAAAAATGCTCTCTAGCAGTCCAAAGTCACGAAGTTGGCGGTGTTTCACCACAGTGTTTTGTAAAATACATAGAGCCGTTTGTCTCTAGCTTACACTAGGAAACTATAATCCTGTTCTGCGCAAATGGCTTGACTCCCTTGAGACTAACCGCCGTGACCAAAATCTTTCTTGAGCACATTATTATTAGGTACTTGTACATGAAAATGAAATGAAATTACCTACTACTTACTACTGTTCGAAATGCGGTTCCTTTGATCAGAAAAGAAACTCTTGATGTATCCTCTTTTTTTTTTAAATTTAATATAACATTTATAGAATGGAGTTGTAGAGTGATGTTGGAAAGTTTATATTTACATTAATAGAATGGAAGACGTCAACAGACCTATCAGTAAGTGATTTTTTATTTTATAGGATAAAGGTGACAAACGAGCACACATTCTACGTGATGGTAAGTGGATGCTGTGGCCCATAAACATCTACATTTATCCTCGATTAAGAATCAAAATGCATTTTCACCCCCTGAGGACTAAGATACTATACCTCGTTTTCAGTGTTAAGCTGTTATTTTGCGCTGGTGTACTGTGAGAGCGTGGTCCTTCCCCGGTCGAGCCGACCCATTCGTGCTAAAACCATAATATAGCTGCAGCGTGGCTCCACCACGTATAGAAAATTTAATATAATTATGCACGTAAATATTATATTCTTTCATTTTAATTTTGAAGGTATTTTAATTCGTACTTTCCGTGACAGGACATCCCCTCTAGAATTAGCATTTCTGAGAGGGAACTCAATTATTCAATTAAAACAAGTGGCGTGCAACAATCCATGCAAATTAGTTCGTTCATTGTGCATTTTTTAGAATTGGGCAGAAGCTTAATAAAGTGTCTAACATAAGATACTATATGGTGTCTAATGTAGAAAGTACATGACCATTATAGCCCATACCAAATCTGAATCTATCCCCGATAACAAATCAAAACGTAATTTCGTTTTCACCTGAGTATGATCTAAGGTACCTACTCTTGACTTCACTTCTCTTTTTTTTAAACATAAATATTTGCCGGTTAATAATTGATAGCTGAATAGCGACCACTACATTTTAACATTTAAGAACTTTATACACATTTAATCCAAAAAATATTTAATAGCGTAATTGAAAATTCAGATAAAATAACTTTTTCGGGCACTTGATTTTCCAGTGTACAAGCATTTACTTCTCATTCTTTTTTTTTAAAGTTGCACTAGGCTTATGATCCCCATCTTGGAGGCAATTTACAAACATAGATTGCACAACGACAAACATTCAGATCTGGAACAAATATTTGTATGGCCTACAAGTAATTGTTCCGGAACTGAATGTTTGTCCTCTATTCGGGATTCAATCTCGCAGATCTCATCGCCGCAACTCAAAGCTGAACCACTGCACTAGAGAGTCGTAAAACTCTTTAACATTCTTGTTAATAATATTATAATAAGATTGGCTTACCATTGTCGTCAATATAACACGGTAGCAACACTGTTTCATTTTCGTATATCTTGAAAATCACTGGAACACTTTTGAAAACTTTCTCGCAACTGGTAGCATTAATTAAAATAGAAAAAGCTAAAATATTTATCAGCCTTTTAATTACTGACATCTTTTATAATATATTTTAATTTTTGTTAAAAATGTGGTTTACTGTGGACTTAATTATTATTTGGTCCAAAATTTTTACTTGAATAAAATCTTAATATATAGGCTATTGCCTTCCTGTTAATTTATGATTTGGTTGGGAATTTTGCTTTTTATTTATTTAGGATACAGTATTGTCATAAAATGCACAATAGGTCGTTAATTAAACATTGGGGTTCAATACATTGCGCGCGCCTCTAGTGTCCGAATAAAACTGTATTACTTTGCTCTGCTCAAGCGCATGTCGCGTCTACGATTACTATAAAAGTTGAGGGCACACTACGTAAATATTTTAAAACTCGCGGCACGTACCTCTAGCGCTGAACGAAATGTGGAGGGGATAGCTGCGAATGTCGTATCAGTACGGGGGATGGAATGCGACTGGAGAGCTAATCAGCGCGTGCGAACGATACGAACTGGCAACCATACGCAATTATGCGTAATAACGGTCACCGCTAGACTTTCGTGCCGCGGTTTACTAACGATTAGACATCAATCATTCATTTCTAGTGATCGAATCATTCTAGTACATTTCGTCGCGCGTACCGGTACATTCGGATCGATCATTCAAATGGATCATTTCGGGCTCCAGTACTCTGAGAGTCTGTGAGATCCATTGGAAACCGAAAAGTTTCTATATGAGATTTGTAATAGCGCCATCTACTACATGCTATAGGTAATAAAGTCATTTTATCGAACTTAAACTTATTGACTTTCAAGGTGGTAAGTACAATCGACGCTAGATGGCATAAGCACAAAAACTTCAAGTGATTCAATAGATTTGATTTGCTTTTGATTGATTATATATTTTAAATATTTAATAAATTTGTTTATTCTTAAATTTCATTCCTAACAATACACAGTTTCATCTTACTTTACGTGTCTAAAAATAAGGACTAACTAACATTTATTTGCTATAAAATTAAACTTTTATTTTATACTTATATAAGGTGGTTGAAAATTATCATATTAAATAAATCATTTGCCATGAAATCTTTTGAAGTGTTATTTTTAGTGAACCCTACGGAATGATATTTTTAACTCATAGATGTAACAAATAAATATAATGCCATCAAAAACATAACTTGTAAAAACAAGTCTCGCAACTCAGTTCTTCTAACGTAAAAAGTTGTGAGATCCATGTAATACCAAGTCGGTGAACTTATTCAGTCCCTATTTAAGGGTCCTTCTGTTTTAAGTTATTACGTAATTAGCTAACCTAACAATATTTTATAGTGATCATATCATCGTTAAAAATCTTATATATTTCAAATATATACAACGAACGAATCATGCATGATTGACACATGTCTACTAACGATCCAAAAAAACAATAACCTAAGTTATGAATGGAAATGAATGACTTAGTTAATAAAAAGCAAAAACCCACTTTTAAAACTAAAAAATATAAAATAATTTTCACTTAATAGCTTCTGAAGTCGGTATTAAGACATAGTATATCGAAAAGTTAAAACCTGAGTTGACTTTAGGATACTGTTATTTGATAATATTATTCTACTAATATTATTTTCTGAATTCGATTTTTAATTTTCATAGCAATTCAATTATTTTACGATTTTGTCTGATCTAAGGAATATCAATAATCAAGCAAACAACGTTTTATTGAAATGTATATAAGATCACCCATTAAAACGTATGAATTATTTTATAAGAAAAAAACATTTTATCGGTTTAGCTGTTTCTAAGAAAACGGTGGATATACATTAAACATACTTTTACGGGCTTGAGGTTCGTGACAATAAAAACTGCCGATTCAATTACCAAAATTTACACTTTAATTCACTTTACACTAATTAAAACTTAAAACACTAATAATTAACCACACTGATTCACTTTATTTCGCTCCGAAGCTTCGCTTGTCTCGCCAAATTCAATACTGCCTCGATCGCATCTTGCAGCGCCTTTAAATACACATTATCACCAAAACATCCAGAATATTCAAGTAAATACGCGCGCCAATCGAGCAGGCGCCGAAAGTTCGAGTGTCGGGCTTCTAGAATGCTTAGTTCTTCATTTCGATACTAGATGGCGCTGTCAGTTGAAAGATTAGTGATGTCATTTTCTGGAAAGCTCTCCTCGCTCTGTTACCCGACACAGATGGCGCTAGTGCCAGACGTCAACTTAGGCGCGCAACAATACGTATTGAATATTGAACCTCCTCGCTCCTTACTCAGTGGATAAAATATTTCTGAGTTGTTTCAGTAAGATGCTGCTGCTCATCTCCCGTTTCAGTTTCTTTCGGTCACCTTTTACTACACCCACGGGACAGTATGGGTTAGTGGATATTTTTACACAGCCTCTAAACAATAACTACTAAGGTCTTTGAGATATAGTGAACCAGAAGTATTAAATAAATATGTAGAAAAAAAAATGATACATTTAAGGGGATTTGAAGCTACTTACATAAGTTTAAGGCGGTATACTGATACATGATTATATTTACGAAGTACAAATATGAACCGCATACATAGTTTATTGCATCGTTCAAGTTTATTATGATGCTCTTCAACCATTTCTAAAAAACTTCCATATCGTAACATTTTCTTTCTAAATCGGTTTTAAAATTAACTTTGAAATGTTATTAACGCGTAAGCCCCAAATTTAATCAGAAAAATAAAATAAAAAACCGGCCAAGAGCGTATCGGGCCACGCTCAGTGTAGGGTTCCGTAGTTTCCCGTCCGTCACAATAAGTATTCCCACTTATGAGTTTAAAGGTGGGTATCCATTATGTTCGCGCTCCAGCAGCGCTCCGCGCTCCTGCAACTGCTCCCGGTAGTGGGTACTGTTGTTTCCATCCAAGTTCAAAATGATTTCCTAGAAAGTCCTTATAAAGTTCTACATTTCAGATTTTTTTCATATTTTCTAAACATATGGTTCAAAAGTTAGAGGGGGGGAGGGACACATTGTTTTACTTTTGGAGCGATTATTTCCGAAATTATTGACATTATCAAAAATGATTTTAGTAAACCCCTATTAATTTTTAAATACCTTTCCAACAATATATCACACGGGGGTTGAAATTAAAAAAAAATCACTTTCCACTTTACATATAGGGGGGCTACCCTAATAAAACATTTTTTTCAATTTTTATTTTACCACTTTGTCGGCGTGATTGATACACATATTGGTACCAAATTTCAGCTTTCTAGTGCTAACGGTCACAGAGATTAAGCGAGGACGGACAGACGGACAGACAGACATGGCGAAACTATAAGGGTTCGTAGTTAACTACGGAACCCTAAAACGACTAAAATGATGTCTAAATATCAAAAAGTATTTTAAAAAATGAAACGTCCTTCAGAAAACCATGTAGTTCGGTGATTTTAAATTTCTAAATATACATAAATATTTAGACAGACTATTTAAATAGACTATTTTATATTTTCTGGAACTTATTCTGTTGTAGCGGCGCTGTCGTCGCCGCCGCAAGCGAAAACACACCGAAGCCTAAATCGCGCTATCAACATTCCGAATCATAAACAGTATATATAGAACTTCTCCGAACTATCACACGGAGTGTTGGCCGCTCCACGGGCAGAACACCTTGCCCGGCAGGAGATCTCCCCTTTTCCTTCTACGGCCACAGTGGTGACCCCGACGTGATCTGAACACGGCAACCAAACAACTTTCGGAAACTTCAAGCTTCATCATCGTCATTGAATACCCCACCGTATCGCTCCCGAGCAGATATAAACTGCAGTCTTCATATCCTGCAAGCCATCTAGCTTCACAAGGTTCATCGCAGCACTGGAATAATAATGCTTCCTGTTCCTTCAAGCTACTCTCTGCGCTATACAGTGTTCGGCACGGCTCTGAGCCTTACTGCTCGCCTCTGCTTCACGGCACTCTCGCAGATTACTTGCCTTCTTCTCGACTCACCGCAGACTACAAGGCAATCCACTGGCACTTGCACATTCGTCGGCAACAAGGCTGCACTAACGACCTCCGGTCTGAGCAGGGGGGTGATGTAGCGGCGCTGTCGTCGCCGCCGCAAGCGAAAACACACCGAAGCCTAAATCGCGCTATCAACATTCCGAATCATAAACAGTATATATAGAACTTCTCCGAACTATCACACGGAGTGTTGGCCGCTCCACGGGCAGAACACCTTGCCCGGCAGGAGATCTCCCCTTTTCCTTCTACGGCCACACTGTTAATTAATTTTTATAATTGCCGTAGAAGAAAACTTTTAATGCATATTATTACTTTACTGTAGATATCTAAAATAAATGCAGTTATTCTTACAAAAATAGGTAAGAATAACTGCATTTATGTCGGTCATAGTACGGCTACTGCCTTAATTAAAGTTACTGATGACATACGGTGGGGTATGGATAATAAACAACTCACAGTCATGACCTTGCTAGATTTCAGCAATGCGTTCAATACTGTTGATTTCGATATACTGTTGAGTCAGTTGTATTCCCTTAACATATCTCCATCAGTAATTGACTGGTTTCAAAGTTACCTCTGTGGCCGTCGGCAGTGTATTCATGTTGATGAAACTCACTCATCTTGGTGTGATATTACTGCAGGCGTGCCGCAGGGTGGCGTGTTGTCACCTTTACTCTTTTCCATTTTCATTAATTCAATTACTCATAAAATTTCTTCTCTCTACCACATGTATGCGGATGATGTCCAGATTTACACCCAGTCAACTCTTGAGAATTTGCCAAATGCAATCGCTACATTAAACAATGACTTAAATATGATTCATGAGTGGAGTCAATCATATGGCCTAAATGTCAATCCTAAAAAGTCACAGGCTATCATTTTTGGTAGTCAGAGCTTTATCTTAAGAATTGACTGGTTTTCCATAC